CTCCTCCTCCTCCTCCTCCTCCTCCTTCTTCCTTCTTCTTCTTCTTCTTCTTCTCCTCCTCCTCCTCCTCTTCCTCCTCCTCCTTCTTCCTTCTTCTTCTCCTCCTCCCTCTTCCTTCTTCCTCTTCCTCTTCCTCCTCCCTCTTCCTTCTTCCTCTTCCTTTTCCTCCTTTTTCTTCTCATTCTTGCTCTTCCTCCTCCCTTTCCTTCTTCTTCCTCCTGCCCTTCCTCCTCCTCATTTTCCTCCTTCTTCCTCTCCTTCCTCTCCTTCTTTCTCCTTTCTTCTTTTTTTAAAGATACCTAGTAAATATTAGCACACAGCATGCTTTATTACTTTGCACTTTTCAGAGTTGTTTTACTATCAAAATATAAAATGTTCTCTTTAAACTTTGAGACAGTTAACGTAAGCCTGGCTGTGATGGGGAGAAAATCAAGGTGGTAAGTGGGTGGTAAATCTGTGCCCTCCTGTGGTCCCTTTCTGTGTCTTGGGACCCTTTCAAGCATAAAGTTACAATTGGAGGTGTTGATTGGAATTGTTGACTGCAGACTGTCAGCTCTCTGCTATTTGGTGCTCTGCTAGGCATTAAGCTTCCACGAAGTGCTACTCATGCCCCTATTACTGCAGTGCTTTATAACAACTCATCAGTTCACGCTTGTGAGTTGTTTTAGGTTCACTCTTCATGAGCATCTGCCTGTTGCTAATAGATAATCTCATGCTTTGAAAGGGGTCGTACGCATTCAGTGTGTTATTTTTGTTGGATCCTGCTACTGTCCTCATATCCTTCTTTATCTTAGCCAGCAGCAAAGACATGTTCATGCTAACCTTTGAATTTAAACCTAATTTTCTTTTCTACCCTTATTAGTGTAACCTTGAAGTGTAATGTGTGCTCCGGCCTCACTTTGTATCCTAGAAGAGGTCTGTGCCCTGGTTTCCTCACAAATAGGACGATAACGGTAGTTCTGAGCAGACGCTAGCATCTGAGTATCATATGTTGAGTTGTAGGTGTTAGTGACCGTAACTTGCAAGTTATTTAACCTTACCAAGCCTCTGTTACCTGGCAGTAACTACATGTAGTGGGGGTAATTACTGAGTGCACATAAAGCCTTACAACGAGCTAGCTGTGTGCAAAGGACAGGGTACAATAATCTTCTTTCTGTTTTCTTCATAACATTATCAGGATTTTAAGTGTCCCCCCCCCCCTTTTTGTTCTTCATACAGAATCCTGTGAGCAGAGTAGACACCCAGCTGTATTTAGCTGTCATCAGATTATTTCTATGAGTTATTACTTAGCTTTCTCCAATTAAGATTTGACATTCATCTTTCTGCAAACATTAACTTAGTTGGTTTTTGTTTATCTAGTTGATATATGTATAGTGAACAAATACCAGAGCAAGAATAACACCCATAATCTTATTATATCTGATGTTCAAATCTAATTTTTTTCTACTTAATTCTCAGTCTAAGTGAGTAACTTTTATCCCATCTTCTATTACTCCATCATCATTTACAGTGAGAAGGTATTTGCTGTAAAAATTCTTTTGGCAAGGAGAACAGTTAGAATACAACATGTTTTGGCAAATCATTTAAATCATACAAATTTGATGATTGTCAGCTCAGAATACCATTTGTGCTGACTGCTGTGTGAACCAGCTAGACAGTAGCAGGAGGGCAAAGCACTTAATGTGTCCTGAATGCACCTTAAAGCTTGTAGATTGATATGTTTTATGTTGTCAAAGGTAAAAATATGTACAAGTCTTATGGTGGGGTGTTGAGCCAGCTACTGTAATTATAATAGGAAGCATTTTCAACCCTGCATATTTTGGTGGGCTTACAATTTCAACATTGTATTTGGAGGCTTTTCACATAGGGCTTCTGTCTTCATTAGCACCTTTGTTATTCTGAGATCATACTTGGAACTCTAAGGCTTCCCAC